ATTCCCACAAAGACGACGGTTTACTGTGTTAACATCCCATCTGAGTGGGGTTTGAAAGTTTTTGTCCTTCTGTGGGAGATGTGACCAAAGAATCTGTCGTATTACTAATGATAGCCTGTGCTGTCTTACCTGTACGTTCTTAAAACTATGATGGCAATTTTTCAAACATTTTTTTTTACACTAAGGTGTGAACCCTCCTCTTTTGGAGTGCCCATTTTAAAGCACACTTTTGGAGGAGAGATGTAAAATGAATAATAGAAAATAGTTTGTTTTTGTGGACAATGTATCAATCACGTGAGAATAAGTGTGATAGCTGCCTATGAGTGGTTTTTTATTTGAACAGTCAGTAATGAGTGTGCAGTTTATACAGATGTGTTTTCAGGAGCTGAGCTCCACAACCTATTTCTGCCTCTCAGTAATATTGGTATTTGAATGTAACAGTGCAAAGAAGAGTATTTGCCCAACACAATCAATAATTGCCATGTATGTATTAAAGTTATTTTTATAGCGAGCAAAGTGGTTTGTAGAGTCACAGCAAACAATTCCACACGTTCACATCTCAATCACCCACAAAAAGAAAGGTAGCACAGCATTCTTCAGGACAATTTGTGAAATGGAAAGACTTTCATCCAAAAGTAGCATTATTTTAAAACAGTAAATTTTGTCTCTACAGTGCAACGTACAGTAAATAACTGAAGAGAAATACATTCTGTTAGTGATAAGCAGGGTTTTAAATATGACATACCATGGAAATCATGCTGGTTTTTGAATCTTAAGTATATAAAAATACAGTTTACAGTTACAGTTAAAGCTTCAGTGACTGAGAAAGATCTCCAATCAGGAAGAACCTGCAGAAACTCTTAAAGGCACAAGACAAGACACACACAGAACAAAATCCAGCAACCATCATGAGAGTTGCAAGACATCCTTTAGCCATGATTTGTCATAGCTTGGTCGTATTCCCCTGATGAAACTTTGATGTTCTGTTGTCAGGGTTTGAGTGTAGAGTAAATTACAGCGTCTCCATTGGCTTTTACTGTAGGTTGTCTGGGCCTGATACTACTGTGAGCCAAACCCACAGATGTATAGATGACTGCATCACCAGTCTGTGAACAAAGGAAAAAAAATAAAATAATCTATTGCTGTTTGATGACTGGGATAGGCCATCATGGGGTGGATGGATGGACTAAGACAAACTCTCACCTGATCGCCTTCATTGGCTGCTTCTGTGGAAAAACACAAGCATTAAAAGATACCTATAGTTAGTAGTTACTGCAGAATAACAGAATGTGGATCTCATCCTGCATAAAGTTTTACACACCTGCAGATTTTTTCATTCTTGTCTTGCAAAATGTCACTACAAGGAGAAGCATCACAGATCCAAGAACCATGTTTAACAGCATCAGTGCAATAACGGTCGGACTCAGTGGTATGCTTTCAGTGTCTGCTGTAAAAATGATACATGATTTAACATTTAATATTCAATTTAGAGAAAACTAATTGTGACAAATTGGATTTTTGTAAGTTTAGCTACTTACTCTGACCACAGGCATTTCTTTTTCTACACAAATGAGCAAAATTCAAACAGCAGAGAAACAGATAAAAATAAATAAATAAATAAATAAAGTAAACACCATATTTAGAATTCCTTTTATAACGTTCTCTGTAATAACCTGTTGGCAAGTGAAAACCTTATCATCTCTGATCTCTTCAAAGCTACAATATTTCTTTGACAAACACTTATCTCGGAGAGGAGGATCTGCCACTTGACTGAGCGGTTTGTGGGGTTTGGGGGTTGTTATTTTTAAAGGGTTTAATTTGATCTGACACTCTGATGAAAAGGACAAATCTGGCAAAGTTTCACAAAAAGACAAAGTTGTCTTTGGATCTAATGTACTGGAAACTACACTTTAAAGAAACACATTTAAAAACCGTTGAAACTTAAAGTGGAAGCCTTAAAAAGTTTAAAAATGCACTGCACGTGTCTTACCATTATTGATTGTTGTCCCATTTCCAAGCAGTATTTGTCCACATGCATTGACGGCACAGTAGTAGACCCCAGCGTCATCCCGGCTCCTGACAACAAAGTTGTACTCGCAGGTAGTTCGTCCTCTGTCAGTTCTCTGGGAGATGTTGTTCTTATTGTCAGAGCAATAAATCATCTCTGGAGCAGAATGATCCGAGTTTTTCAGCCACATGAAACTAGTGAGTTCTGCTGTGCATTGAGCAGAGTGAACAGAACAGCTGAGAGTCACAGAGTCTCCGGACCTCACTGACTTTGATTCTGGCTGCTGGACGACAGAGTCGCTGATTGTCTTTGCACCTTGGAAAACAAACCATTTGGACTGAGATTGTTAGCATTGTGTTCACATTCAGTTGAAATTATATGAAATGCAAACATGTCCAAACATACCTGTCAACATCAGAAATGTTCCTGACCCAAACTGAACATCACTTATGTGTAAGACTCCACAGAAGTATGTTCCAACATCTTCCCATGATGTTTTATTTATGGTTAGATGATTGTTAGTCATGTCAAATTTAACTGAAGAACGGTTAACAAATTCATCACTGAACTCTCTCACATTATACTGAGAATTAGTTTTTACCACCAGCTGTAGTTTCCTCCCTGTAGTCACCTTGTACCACACGGTTTTGGTCGATGCGCTCTTTATGAAGCATTTAATAGTAGCTGAGTCGCCAATCTTCACTGTTTTCAAAGATTCAGGCTGAGAGACTTCACTTAACTTTGCCGCACCTGAAATAATTCAGACAGACTCAGTTTCACACAAATGAAGATCAAAATAAAGTAAATTTGTTTTACTTACATAAAGAGCAGAGCAGGAAAACATTCACAAAGGACATCTTCATCTTGTCTCCTTCTTCAGTACAGCAGTCCACACCTAATGAAGCAGCAGTATACTTCTCAGATTTAAAAACGCCAGCCTGTCCTACATTTTGCCACATCTGACAGGTCTGATTGGTTCATCACCATCACACTGCAGAACATGATTGGCTCTGTCAAGTAACGTGGCGTAGAGAGAGATTGAGGTCCCCCTGGCCGCCCCCTGCCATCAAAGCTGAGGGGGTAAAAGGACTTGACATTCAGCCTTGTGTGTTAAAAAAGATCAGAGTGCTAAAACAGAATGTTTTCCTACAGTTTTTTGATCATCTTTATTCGTAATCAAAGACAAATCACAAATGTAAGTGATCAATATGCAGAGAAATGCAGTTTGAGTTTTGGAAATGTCTGTTCTAATCTTTAGAGTTTTGTGTGTAGACATCAGCCATAATCAACCTTTTCTATTCATCTGTTGGACTGAGAAGATAAGAACTGTGTCACCAACCCATCATTATACTTTTGAACGAGTGTCAAACACAGGTTGATGGTTCATGTGGTTTTTCCGATGGTTAGTTGTGCTCAATACTAATCAGAAAATAATCAGTTAAATATCATTCTGACCTCTGAGTGTCTCACATTTAAAGTATATAATTTAGTAAAAAAGTGGATTGTATTGAGTAAATTGTGATTGAAAAACATAGTTTTAAAGAGAAAAAGTATTTGGATTAAAAGTGAATTTACTAATGAAATCTAAAATGAATGAAACTTGAAGTGAAGAATGATACGGTGTGGCGGAAGATCAGTTGACCTGATTGATTGAGTAGATATTAGAGAGAGAGAGAGATGTGGCGAGTCGGCACTTGACAAAGACTAAACTGGGATGGATGGAGGTGTTGTGGGTCTGTTCTCAGTGGCCCTGTGAGATTAACAGCAGAGAGTCCAGCAGAGATGCAAAGAGGTAGCAGACTGCCCACAATCTGGACTTCCTGTGATGTCAATAATCCTGTCATTCATAACACAAAGCAAATCCAGGCATATCTTGAATATTTTTGAGTATTTTTACCGAGCATTACCGACATTACATACTCCAGCTGTGGTTTGTGTATACTGAGGTGTGATAAAGCATTTGATTATTTTCTATGTTTGTTACACTTAATGTTTCAGTTTGTACTTAACTGTGCTGCACCTGAAATGCGATTCACATTCGTATATACGCAGCTAATCAAGTGGTTGACAGGCTATGACAGCGTCCTTATGTGCCGACACCGGTGTTTTAGCTAGCAAAG